AGGAGGGGGCACTCATGGCTGCATTACGTAACGCTGAAGTAGACGCTTAGCGCCGATTTTTCGAGAGTCTTAGTTCAAGAGTCTCAGGTGACCATTTCCATTTCCATCATAACTGCATCTTAATACGCAAACTTGGGTGGAAGGTCGAACTGATTGTAACGTAATTTATTTAGGAGACGTAGATATACATCTATTCGCACTCTTCGGTAAGTATGTTTGTTGCCTATACGACGAAAATGAAGGCGAACTTCACCGCAAAAAAAAAGGTGCCGTAGTAACACCACAGATGTTAAAAAACAACATTCACGACAACATCAACATCCTATTCCTAGCTGTTACTTTTTCATTCTAGAATGTTACTTTAACACCAGAGTTTTAATGACAACATCCAATAGTAGTCGCACATTTTTTTAATATCTATTTTTTTCGGTGTTAGGTGGACAATACCTGCCAATAAGTTTAAGAGGCACGGTCTAAGTATTGATTCTATCCAAGTTAATGGATAGAGATAATAGAGTGTTTTTCGAATTGATAACTATTCGCGCTCCCCGGTAGTTATGGTTGCCTATGCGGCGAAGTTGAAGGCGAAACCCAAGTGAACTATCACACTTGGCAATAAGTTCATCCATTATCTAATGTTTCTGGCAAAGTCTATTGCAGAGAGATACTCTTGAGTTTTTAAATAGGTAGCATTCGCACTTTCATCAGGTAGATTTGCTGTTTTATATGCGCTGAAATTGAAGGCCATATTCACGTCGACTACATCTCCCAAGAGTTAAACATCGTTTAAAAGTTTTGGCAAAGCATGCAGCAGGAACGGGCCGGCTACGAAATCGAATGGCTTGCTCTTCGTGCCTTCTAAAGTATATCATGCTTTTTTCTCATTATTCCCCCTTTCCTTTCACTTTAGCGTCCTTGTTGTGATGCATGGCGCATGGGCATTCGGCAATTAAGGGTGACCACTCTTCATCCGGCTCTTATTTGCCGGTGTTTCTAATTTTTATATGACTGCGCAACGACTGGAAAAAAATTACTCTGCGATGAACGAAATTCGTCACCCACCTAAAAAAAAAGCCCCCCCTCCCCCTCTTCACCAACAATGATCCTTGTGGTGGACCCGACAGTCTGGATACACTGTTAAAAATTTAAAAGTGAACTTGTGCAGCGGAGTCTACAGCGCTCGAAAACTGCGAGTAGTATGAATGCGGAACGCAATCCATTCTCTTTACAGAATGACTTACACTATAACGGAGCGTAATCTACTTTTTTTGCGGAGTGCCATACGCTTTTGGGGTGCCAATTCCACTTCGCATTGACATTAGACTGGGGGACATAACCCCCCCCCCCCCCCCCCCCCCNGTTCGCTCTGAGAGGGGGGAGGAAAAAGGACGAAGGAAGGAACAGAGGAGAGAAGAGGGAAGGACTGCTTCTGTTCGGTATTTTTTTTTCCTAGCTGGTTTAATGGCTTCGTGTCTAGCACCTTCAGCCAATTTTAGACAATTTTTAGTGTCCGTAGACATCGTGGGATCTCCATGCTCCAGGCTTTTCCAATTTTCAGGAATTAGGGCCGAGAAGAACCTGTTTCAGCAGATCTACTCGTCACCGGGATTCGAACCCGCGACCTATTGACCTAGAGTCAGACGCGCTGACCACTAAGCCAACCTGGCCGGCCTGTTTGATAATTTCATGACCAAATTGACTCAAACTGCATATCGGATGCTTTAAAATTGCGTAAATTTTATGGGTGGGGGGCGAACCCCCCGCCCCCTCCCCCGGTTCGAAGTGTCTGGATCCGCCTGTGGCGCACACTTTCAATAAATTTGTAGATTGTTAAATATCATTGTAAGTTCAATGCGTAGAGAAGAAAGCAGAGGTAAGAAAAAAAATGTAAAAAAATAAGTAGCTGCTCACGCGAGATTGCCTCAGCGCGGCGTCGGAGACTGAAACAAGCAGCCCGGCGAGGAGCGACCCAGTCAATGCATGGCGCGCAATGTGCGAAGGGAACGGATGCTTTTCCTATTTCTCACAGGCACGTATGACTCTCTAACCATCGGCGCGTCGCGACGCGCGGCGTACGGCCTGCCGCGCGACGCGCCACCCGTGGGAAAATCAGAATTGCCTTGAAAAATATTCTTCACCCACCGCTCCAGAGTAATTTGATTGGCAAGGACCCCGGCTTCTCGTCTCCCCGTCGGCGGGTATCCGCTCTCCGATTGGCTGACCCGAACTCCCACTCCAAGCAGTCGGGCCCTCGCCCAGAACTGCAATCAAGACGGTTTCTTAATTACACAAAATTAATCGCAGCCATCAAAACTTTCGTGAAATTCGTTCGCTTCACTCCTCTATTTTGCTACGGGCTTTTAATGCATTTCAGTCCTTTTTCCATGCTCTGTCCGTTCAATTTTCTGCGCCGAATACATTTTTCGAAAATTCGATATTGATTAATTTGTCGTATCAAAGTTGGTAACGGCGTGGGAAAATGCTTCCCGTCGAACAGGTGTTTTTCAAAAGCTGTGGTGTGTGTGTGTGTGTTTTGTGTTTACAGCGGAAAGTTTCTCATGTACAATTTGTGGCTTTGTCATTGTGATACTCATAATTTTGATTTTCGAAATTGAATTAGTCATGCAGTTATCGAAACATTTAAATCATCTCTGTAATTGATAGTGCGTCTGTCTCCTATCTTCACGTAGTTGGCTGTAACTGAACCCAGCATCTTGTTGAATGTGTTTACTTGTATCTACAGCAATCTTCCTCAAATTTCATAACTTTCGGTAAGGAAAATAATTTACTGTCCTTTATTTTATAGTGTTCTTTCAAACCTATTCAATTCATCAGTGATTGAAAATATATCAATTCTCAGGTTTCTCATGGATTTCTAACCTACACGTAAGCTGCCGATACTTTGTTTACTAGCTGCAAGTAGAATGATTGGATTACATATTTTCAATTTTTTTTATTGTTTTTTCAAATATCTTCTAGCCAAACTATCGGGTTTACATACCAATTTTGGGAGGATGAAGTATATGTAATTATCTGAACCAGCATTGACGTTTTCCATGTTTGTCATGGCACTCCACTCATGAAGCGAAGAGCAATTTGTTCCGATCAGATCCTCCTGTTAATGCTATTTACATTGTCCCCTAGCATAGCAAGTGACCTTTGCATCCGTTAATTTTCCGTGACAAAATATGAATGTGCTCTGCTGGGATGTATTGCAATTCTTTGTCTTCTGCACGCAATGTTTAGCAAAAGGTACTCAGCATGCTTTGTGTGTCAAACTGAAACGAAGGTACCAACAGATTTCCCCCAAATTCATTTCATTGAATGTTTGAAAGGGGTCTAGATACTCTATATGCCCATTCAAGTTTGTCCGCAGCATTCAGAAAATAAATCTCTAACTTCTCCCATAGTTTTGGGTAAGTAACCTTTTAAAGTTGCTGTAGAGGCAAAATCACAGGGATGCAGAAAGTCTCAGCCCTCCATATTTTTTTGTCCTTACCTGGTAGCTTTTCACACTTCACCCAACAGCCCCCCACAAAATTTTTGTTTCCTTCAATATTGTAATATACCGGAGAATAAAGGGGTATTAGGTCCCTCGGGTCGAAGCTGCTTTGCATTGGGGACACAGTATAGCTCAACAGGCAAAAATTGCTGAACATTGCAGCGTATTCAGATGAAATGCTCTCTTTATTGACTTAAACTATACCAAAATCAGAGCTAGTCACAGGCTAGATCATGATTGAAACAGAACACCGAAAACACATCTTAGTGGGACCTCTCTAAAGTTGAGGACATTGGACTTTAGCGATGACATCTCCTGACCAGTGCATAGCGGACTGCCCAAAGATAAAGCTAAAACCAGGCAAATTTAACCAAAGTCCTAAACTCAGAACCTTCAACGGCTCTTTTGTCACCAAACTTAAGCTGGTAAAAGAGCAACGTATCCCACAATGCATAGATTGCAACTAGTGCTAGCCCACATGCTGTTTCATCACAATATTAGACAAGGTGAGGTCAGCAAAAGTGCAGTAGTATTGTGAATCCATGCAGACTAACCGGGATGAAAATTGGTCTTAACCAAGCGAGTTGTGCTGTTAAGACCAAATTTTGGAAGTATTTTTTTATTCTCCCCCAACTCTTATTCAATAATACAACTTTGACGCACAATAAAAAGTTTTAAAAAAAAATTGATCAACGTGTTGTGTACCCAGTTTTTATTTCTGACAGATAGCATGGATTATTTTGACCTAACCCATTTCAGACAAGAGACATTAAGAACCTTAGTGCGTAATTAATTCATGAAATATGAAAAAAAAAAAATCAGGCCTAATCCATGCCAAAAAATTGGAATGTGTTGTGTATAGCTTTAATCTGTGAATTTGTAGAGAAGGAAAAATTCCAAGAGCCATCGATCTCATTTTATTGAATGTTAAGAGGCCAAAGTATCAGTGAAAATTTTGCGTTGAAAGTTATGACATTATTCAAGAGGAAGATCATTTATCTTGTCTAGAGTTCAAATTCTCCAAGTACAATCCTAACTAAAAGAGGGCTTGTACCTAACATGACTTAAATAAATATAATAATTTACATAGAAAATCTTTGAAATCACTCTAGCGATTGAAGGTAGAGAAAATATTACTGTGAGAGTAAGGTGTATTTTTTAGCCGATATTTTAAAATGTTCCATTAAAATCTGAACAAATAACAATGGTGAAACTTCCAAACCACATTTCTCAGTTTGTGACGTTGCAGACTTCCTATCAAACCTCCTTTTTCAAACTGAAATTTACTGAACATCAATTCTATCATATTTCTGGGATTATTTTTCTCTTTGGAAAGAAAATTTTGTGAAAACCTGAAGGAATGATGCTCTCCCTCAAATAATAAAATGGGAATTAAGATTGTTAAACACCGCAAACAAGGTACAAAGTTTTGGAGTTTCACTATCGATCAATTGCTTCAATACAAAAACTTTCTTTTCTCAATGTCTCTTAAGTAAGAAAATTTGATTGGTGCCTCTTCAGCATAGGAAATGTAGTCAAATTCATTATCATTTCATTGATTCGAAATATGTCTGTAAATATTCATGAGTGAATGTTAAGCAAGTTTGACTTGATTGTCTTTTCAAGTGAAGCTTTGATAGATGCAATCAAACTCAGACACCCAACTTAAAAATTGCTAGTTTCATCGCTGTCTTGCGAATTTGAGCTAGATTACTTTATTTCTAGCCGTAGGTAATTGTTTTAGGATTTCTTATTGATATGGAAATAAGACAACTGTGTCTTGATTTATACTGATGTATAGTGCCTGTTTCATTTTCTTTGTGTCAAGGGAAAATTGACTTGTATGATTTTTGGTATTATGCCTTATGAACCTTATGAACTTAATAAACTTATAAACTGAAATAAAATGAACTTATCTCAAAAATTTTATGATGAGACTGATTTTTTAGTTTAAAAAAATTAATGAAATAAAGCATAAATAAAACACCAAAACTGAAACAATCTTTCTCTTGTTACGCTTTTGACATATTATCGGTACCAAATTTGGTATTTTAAGTCTGCACAATAAAGGTAGGTATGGCGATCATCAGGCGGGTTCTTTTTTAGGCTCTGTCTTTTTTTCCTTGTGAAGAGGTTGGTGTGATTCTCATTTGAATGAAAGAAAAAACCTCATCCAGAAAGTCAATCAATCTATTCCCATGGGTTTTTATTTTTTAAGTTTATCTTTCCCCTTTTTTTTGTGAATGAAATTTTGATAGGTACATCATCAACATAGCCTGTAAGAGTCGTAAGCTTTGAACCGGTGTAAGGATGTGTAATAAATTCAAAAATTACCAGACCAGTCCAAATGGCTAAAAATATATAAAACAAATATTCACTGGTCTGAAAATTCTTTGAATAAGAAAGAAAGAAATATTGTTCAGATTATATGTTTCATATATTTTTAGAGATACTACAATCTTCACATTCTTTGTTATACTTTTGTATTCAGCTTTTTTTTACCTATATTGTTCATTTTCTCTTGTTCTAGGTGAAGTCATGCATTGTGAAATAGAAGAAAAGTAATGGTTTGCGGAGGACAGCAGTTGACAATGCCTCATCAATACGGAGGCATGGCGCATAGCCTTGCTTACCGGAACGAGGACCAGCGGCTAACAAGGGAGGCAATGGAGCGATACTTGCGCGAACGAAGTGATATGGTCATAGTCATTCTTCATGCTAAAGTGGCTCAAAAATCTTACGGTAATGAGAAACGGTTTTTTTGTCCTCCACCTTGTATCTATCTATTCGGTGATGGTTGGCGGTTGCGACAAGAACAGTTGTTGCGAGAGGGTGAGTCAGAACAAGCTGCCCAGTTGTGTGCGTTCATTGGAATAGGAAACTCAGAGCAAGATATGCAACAGCTTGACCTCAATAATGGCAAACAGTATTGTGCAGCCAAAACTCTATTCATTTCTGACTCCGATAAGCGGAAACATTTTATGCTTTCTGTAAAAATGTTTTATGGGAGCGGGCATGATATTGGAGTTTTCCATAGTAAAAGAATTAAAGTAATCTCAAAACCATCAAAGAAAAAACAATCACTAAAAAATGCAGACCTCTGTATAGCTAGTGGCACCAAAGTTGCCCTGTTTAATAGGCTCCGTTCCCAAACTGTTAGTACAAGGTATTTACATGTAGAGAATGGAAATTTTCATGCAAGCTCTACACAGTGGGGAGCATTTACAATTCATCTACTAGATGATGAAGAGAGTGAGAGTGAGGAATTTAGTGTTCAAGATGGCTATGTACATTATGGAAGCACTGTCAAATTAGTTTGCAGCGACACTGGAATGGCCCTGCCCAGACTGATAATTCGTAAAGTAGACAAGCAAATGGCTCTACTAGAAGCGGATGATCCTGTTTCGCAACTGCACAAGTGTGCATTTTACATGAAAGATACAGAACGAATGTACCTATGCCTATCTCAGGAACGCATCATCCAATTTCAAGCAACGCCTTGTCCCAAAGAACCAAATAAAGAAATGATAAACGATGGAGCTTGTTGGACAATTATCAGCACAGATAAAGCAGAATACCAGTTTTATGAAGGGATGGGCCCTGTAAGGTCACCCGTAACGCCTGTTCCCGTTGTCCACAGTCTACATCTCAATGGAGGTGGAGATGTGGCCATGTTAGAACTCTCAGGTGAAAATTTTACACCTAATTTACAAGTCTGGTTTGGAGATGTTGAGGCAGAGACGATGTACCGATGTCAAGAAAGCATGCTTTGCGTCGTTCCAGATATATCTTCATTTAGGGGTGAGTGGCTATGGGTTCGGCAGCCCACACAAGTTCCTGTCTCATTAGTTCGAAATGATGGTATTATATATGCGACAGGCTTGACTTTCACATATACTCCAGAGCCTGGGCCTCGGCCTATCTGCTCCCCTGCTGAGGATATTTTACGTTCTGGTCATAATGATCGACTTGCTGACAGACTTCCTGCCTTGACTGATGTGCCATGGTCACAACCCCCAGCTCTGTAATAATGTAAAAAATAGTTTTTGTACTTTACTTTTTTATTCTAGTATCTGTAAATTTTGAATGTACCTACTGTCTCCTTTTGAGGCACTTTAAGCAAGTCTTTTACCATTAGGTATTGAAGGTTTTATTCAGAGACATTCCTTCGATAAATTTGACTCGGTGAGATTTTTTTTTCAACCCACACAATTGTTGTCCTTACCTCGTGGCCATTAGGTGACTCCAGTTTCAGTATTAATGAAGAGTTTAGAACAAGTAGGTAGTACATTTACCTAGTTTTTACTAATCCAGTTTTGATTGTCATTGCTAATTTAGTTTCACCCTCATTCATCGAATTCACTTAGTTTGTGAAAAATTATTAATTAGGTTTTCAAAATACTCCGTAACTTTTGGTGGCTAATTGGATATTACACACGAATTTAAAGAGGTTTTCTGCTGTTACAGTTAGTCGACAATTTGCTATCAGGAACTACTATTTTTGGCTCATTACAGGAACAGCACATATGCTATTAGTTTTTACATGCAGATAGGTAGGTGTTTTTTTGGGTGACTCAGAAATAGTAGTACTTTTTTGCAAAATGTAGTCCAGTTGGTCTAAATTTTACGCATGTAAATTCAAGGACATTTTTTTCCAATTTCTTTCAATTCCTCAGACTGTGCTTTCTCCTTTGCTATGTTTGCAAATAATTAAAGAGAATGATCTAGAAGTCCTGTAAGGCTATTTTTATCGTTTTTATTAAATTACTCTTCTAAGAAAGACCTTAACTACAAGGATTATCTGTGAATGAAACCTTAGATTCGATTAACTCAGGATTGATGAAGTCCAACCAGCATTTGATTCTGAGGGAAAAGTAAAAAAGAAATTAAAATAACACACGATTTCCCTTAGAAATCGGGTACTTGTCTGATTAAAAAGTAAAGATCAAACGCTAGTTTCAACTTCTTTCTTTGCTCAAGAAAGAGGGAAATAGAAATAGGAGTATTTAAAATTCAAAAACATATTACTTTCATTCTCAGCAAAAAGAAAAGCTCTTAGTTAATGCTTATTACATGTAGTTCACTCAAGATTTACATTTACGATTAATCATTTTTCATCACTATAATGTCCTTCAAAAATATGATTTTTCCTTTCTTTTAATTAATTTCCAAACTCAAATGCTGGTTGGAATGTTTTGGTTTCTTTTGTGTGTTTGTAGTTTTAAGAGAGAACAATAATTTTTATTTGTGCATTTTCATTCATTATGAATGAAAAAAATAAAAAAAGGATCATCATGGGTCATCAAGGACCAGTGAATGAATACTGGGAAAACAACGTTTGGAAGCCTCTGTCAAATGAAAGCCTAATACTCTTCTCTCACTATCTTTCATTCCGTGCTAAAGATGTTTCCAAGTTTTGTATTTACTCTTTTTTTGAGACGCAATACCAATTGAAATGTACAACAGGGTAAGGACGCTATGCACTGCAAAATTACTTTGGGAAAGGACCTTTAACACTTCCAAAGCATCAATTTTAATATTAAATCTAGCTCTATAAACATTATCTAAAGTGAACGGAGGGCATGAGTTGCATCGACTGCTTGTTCTCTTCTCAATTATCCTTTGCTTATCAGTGAATTTAAATCCTTGGTTACTAGCAAACACGGAGCAATTTTTTCATGATAAATCCTTAAATTAGCAGTATTAAAAAAATTGAATGCTCCATAATTGTTGTTACAATACCATTGTTCACAAAGAACAAATCTTATGCCACTCTAACGATTATTCAAGCTCAAAATGTATTTTTAGATGGAGTGTTTTTTTGTAACTTACGATTTATGCTAACAAAGTAGTCTAGTGTACAAAATTGGTCAGTTTCCCGTGCCAACGAATTGCAAGAATACCTACTGATGTTAAAATGCAATCATGCATAAGTCTGAACCCCAGATTTCTATATTCAATGCTTCATTACTAGTAGGTATTGAATGGAAATTCGTCATCCCTAAACTGGAGATGGAATTATTTTAGGGATGCAAGAACCATGCAGACAATTGATGTGATCTGATTAATTTTTCAATCGGCATTTTTGTTGTTATTTTCCTTACAAAAATTCTGGCGTCTAGACTGATGTTGACCCTTGGCAAATCCATGATCATTAACCATTAAGGTGATTCGATGGACGCCATATTTTGTGTCAAAAGGACATGCGATGTACCGCATAAATTAGTTCCATTTTTTCAGTTACTCGTCATTTTCCTTAAATTTTGAGATCGTAATTCTGATGTCAGGAGACTAAAAAATTCACTCACCAATTTTGACGAACAAATTCAACGTATTTTAGGTGTGGTTTTTTTAAAGAGAAAATCTTGCATTAAAGTGTAGTTTCAATATCAGTATCGAATGCAATATTTTTCCTCTTAAAAAATCACGCCTTTATTATGTTGAATGCGTTTGTCAAAATCGGTAGAAGAATTCTTCAGTCTCCTAACAACAGAATTGCGATTTCAAAATTTGAGAAAAATGACAAGTAGCTGAAAAAATGGAACTAATCAATGCGATATATGGCATGTCGCTCTGACACAAAATATAGCATCCATCGAATCACCTTAAGAACCAATTCTGTACCACATTTAACTGACCCCATTCATTGTCAAGTTTTTAAGAACCAAAAATTACTAAATTTAGAACAATTTTTAATCACCCAATTGGCTTTTTTTGGAGAGAAGTCTCTGTGAGTAGGTACTTCTTAATTTTTTGAAATTTTTGTTTTGAATATGTACCATGAGTAGATATCTCATTCATCTTATTTTTTTCTGATCAATTTACAGCAAAAAACTGCTCTGTTCAATGTCATTCTTAAAGTTAGGTGGGCTTAAAACACAAGAATTTTTGGAAGGTTGCATGGAATTCTTGCCAAATTTTCTTCATCTTTTAATCAATACAACCGATCCTTCAAAAATTGTACATTTTTATCAACAGATACTGGTCGTCTTTGGTTTGAATTTGAAATTTTGCTGCGGAAATCATTTTCAGGTGGAAAAATAATGATGAATTTTATATTTAATTATGTTATATGATAACATCTGAAGATTCATTTATTTCATTAATACAAGGTCCAATCATTTCATTATTAAAAACCTCCTAGTTATTACGACTCAAAGGAAAAAAGTACCTACTTTTTCAGGCGATCAGAACTTTATTGTCGACTGTGTTAAGTCTAGTAGAATCACAATCATGCAAACACATACACATTACTTTACTTGAATCAACAAATTGTCTTTGCTGCACAATCATCAGCTCTTTCTGCTAAATATTTAGAGGGCATAATTAAGGTTAGGCATTCTAAAATTGTGATATTTTGAATTTTCTGTTTTTTCTTGTTCTTTTTTTCTATTTTATTATGTGCAGTTTTTCATTGTCCTTTAAGTGAAGATTTCACTACTTAAATGAGTGTAATTAGGTAATCTTATTTTATATATCATAGGTCTCTCATGCATCAGAAATATATTTGTTTTAGAGCTAAGAAATTTATCTGCCTAATAGGGTAATTACTCTTTGGAACTTGAAACTTGTTTCAAAACTAGCATCAAATCTCAACAGCTCCAATGCATGAATTTTAAACAAAATAAGAAAGATTAGGTCAGAAATATTTTCGCAAAAAAACTTACTTTTTTCTATCTTTTGCTGTCATGTAGTTGTAGCAACTGAACACACCAAACCTCATGACCACAAATCAAGTCAATTTAAAGCAATCCTATTAAAAGGAATGAGTCATCTTTGAACCAGGGTATTAAATTAATTGACATGAAAGTTGTCTTGCTCAGATACTTACTTATTTTTTCTTGTGTGAAATGACGAAGTATCGGATCAATGATTTAATCCCTTGAAACAAAAAAGCCAAGTTTTACAGATGCATCCAGTATTAATGAGCAGTGTTGGTCATTACTCAAGTCTACCAACATATTGCACTGAAGTTTCAAGTCTCTTTGTATTGTCCAGTAATAATGTCGGCTTTAAATTTCATGCATGAACTCATTATTTATATTTTAAGTTTGAATATTTTTCACTTTGAATACTCTGTCTGAAAGATTTTAAGTTTTAATTTTTGGGAGTCACATAGCGACAAAAATCTATTGGCCAATTATCAAAGTGAATTCTCAATGCTACCTTGCTCTCACTACTATTACCCACCAATATTGTATTAAGTACCTTGTAAGTTCTTCAGTACCTTTGCTTTCGGCTCATCTATCGAAAATCGACTGCCTCAAATATCACTTCGTACGAGGCCTTGCACAGGGAAAGAAGCCACTGGGAATGGTGGCAATTCGTTGTTTATGTCAAGTTAGGTAGAAAATTTAAGTTTTCGTTGGAAACACTCTCTTGTCTCCCATAAAATCGGTCGCCAACACTTTCGTTTATCTCAGTGCCAGCAGAGGGCCTCAATATGCATTCTGATATTTGAAGGTGGCAAATTAAAACATAAAATAACTACATTTTTCTAACTGCGAGCTTCAAACTGTCTTAACTCCAGAATGCTTTCACATTTTTGCTTGTATCGCGCCAAAATGTATATTCAACACTCCGTGAGCAGTGATATCAATACGTAAATTTCAGCACTGTCCCCAGGGTAGGGAGCTCATGAGATCCAAACCCTCTCCCTTCATGACTGAAAATTTCCCCCTAGAATCATCATTTTTGTGTTTTATAGGAAATGTTAACCCTTTGGATTTCCTCCCTGTCTGCCAGAAGTATTTGACTGAAGACCCTCTCCTCCCATAAAAAATTTCTGATTGTGCCACTGATCAATTTTTTGTCTCTCAACCCAAAGATCTCTTTCCTTGTGGACAATAATTCTTCATTCAGTTGCAACACCAGTTTCTTCCTGCATGGCTTACAATGAGTTTTTACCATATCCTTAAATTTAAAGTGAAATTTCACCAAATAATGTCTCTTTAAGGAATAGAAGCACATTAATCAAAATCCTCTCCTGAAACAGGAATTTGTAATTGTATGTCAAACAAATTCGCAATGTGTTAGAAATCTTGTTAAGACTTCACTCGACACTCTAGGCACTGAAGATTAGAATCTACACTCTTCAACTAAGGTGATTGTCAGAAATCTGCGAAAATTTGTCCTTCTAACGTCCAGGACTGTACCAGACTTCAAATTTCAATCCTTTAAATAAAAGGATTTTACTCGCTCTGATCATATAAGATGATTTTCTGCAAAAAGGCCTTCACTTGCTGAGCAAAAATAATCTATCATAAACCTCATTTTCGAAAAAAGTAGGGATTGCAGGATATGATTCTCTGAGCCTGTCTTGTCCTGTACGTAGATGCTTGTCCTTATGATAGACTATACACTCAAAGCAAAAAGATATACCTAAACTTAAAATGTCTTGGAGATTACTGCAAAAATGATGCTGCTTAAAATATCTCCCGGCAAATATAACTTGACGGTTTACTCAAGAATCACATTAGTTCCATAGGTGTAGCTAAAAAATTTATTTGGAGGTCCAAGAGTCCATTTACCTCTCTTGAAGATCTGCTAGTATAGAGTAACCACTTACGATAACGTTTCTTTCCATTACTATTTTCTCCGCCCATGATGGGATCTACTGTTTTTCTTCATTTCAGGGCCGTTGATCGGAAACTAAAATTTTCAAAACAAAAAAGGACGTGATATTACAGTTAAACATTCGAGAAGTATTTTTTCTCTGATGAGGTCATTTAATCGTAGCATATATTGATTGATGTGTGTTTAGTGCCATTAGCTGGCTGAGATTTAGCAGAATTTTTGCTTTTTCTCAATTTTCTATTGGGGGGAAGGGGGGGGGGTATTTCATAATTTGCAGTTTTGACTTCAAAGGCCTATAAAAATACAATAACGTCGTTGCTCTCTGAGTTTTTTGTGTGTTAATTATTGAAAATTTAAACGTGTCACTTTGCTGATCGCTGCAGTTGTTGTAAATTTTCTCTTTGCCACCTAGACCAAAATTATTTTTATGCTTTCCCAGTTCTCTGATCTTTGGTCTTTGTTCTTGGGTCCAGTTTGACATCATTATCGGTCTTCCAATCAGGAAGTGCCCTGGAGTTAGTGGTTCCAAGTCATGAGGATCTGGTGATAAGGAATTATAGGACGAGAATTTAGTATACCTTCTACTTGTATTATAAGGGTTTCAGCTTCTTTAAAGATAAAAGCTGTCGATTTTGTAATTATTCTAAAATGTCTCTTGAAACTCTTTATGGCTGCTTCGCATGACAGTTCATCAATGCTCGCCCCCCCCCCCCCCACACACACACACACAAGGCAAGCACGTTACTGCTAGGCTATGGCAATTCGAACCTTTTTTTTCTCTTTCTTCTTGATAGTGAACTCTCTTCAGATTCTGAAAATTTACAAAGGAAAAAAACAAAATGAAGGAAACAAAAATTCATTTTATTTGACAGAATATTTTGGAGGAAAGTGTTACGTTTAACTCATCAATTAAGATCAGTCATTGTTAGACAAGTTAATGTGAGCACTTTTTGTCGTGAAAGTATGTATACAAGCTTTTCCCTTCAGTGCAAGGCGGATAAACCTGTATCCGTTTTGTCCTCTGTGTATTCCACTTGTTTTAAGTCTTACAACTCTGTTTTATCATTCCTGTTTTTGTTCTAGAGTAAGATCCAAGCAAAATATAAAAGTTGTTAAATATTTTTTATTGTAACAACCTCAAATTTTAGAGATATTTGAATATATTTTATAATTCGTGGAATCATTTTTGTGTCATTATTTTTATTCTGTCTCTCTAGTGTATTCTGAAGGAATTAGGTACACTTTTTTTATAGATACATTTTGAGCATATTGACGGTGAAACTACCAGGCCACATATCTCGCCTGTGCTGTTTAA